TGTTGAACTGGGCTCAGCATCTCGAAAGGTTCGCTATGTTGCGCACGTGCGTTAGTGTCTCAATTTTATAACCGATTCTATTTCGAGATACGGGGCCATGGAATCGAGACACTAACGCACGTGCGCAACATAGCGAACCTTTCGAGATACGGAGCCCTGAACTACACTAGTACTGCAGTAGGCTTCTTTTCGCCCAGTTTTGGACAAATCTTGATAAAGATTTTTTTTAATATTAACATATGCTCAGTACAATCAATGTGAGTTTCACGGGGAAGTAAAATATAATATGTTTCGCTATAAACAAACTTTAAGAACATGTACTACTAGAACACATATCGTGTCAATAAAACATAAGATAGCATAACAAATGTACATGACAGCCTGAAAGACAAGCTCCACCTGTTATGCTGCTTTATAGTCATTTAACATATATTACGTGAAAAACTGTGGTAGTTCAAAGGGTGACTCTGTATACATAAATTGAATGTCAATTCACGACTTCCCTCACAAGATGATTTTTCTCCAAACAAGCGAGCAACGATGGAATTCGATTATGTTGTCAAAAACGTTGGGGAGTTCGGGAGGATTCAGTTAATAATGACAATATTTTTTGGACTCACTACAGCATCGGTAGCCCTACAGATGATCGTGACAGTATTCATGCAACAAACACCAGAACACAGGTAAAGTAATCGCAGGCACCTTTACGGCTCACGGTGCATGGAGTAGACACGTGAAGCAGGTTGTTAAGGTCCACTCAATGCATGTGATGAACTCACTCATTTACATATTATGTTTATATAACCAGTTGGCATATTATCATTCACCTTGCTTCAGTCTTGAATGAATATTTATCATCCTCTGTATAGGTATACCTGATAAGTAGAACTGATATAACTTTCATTCACTTGTAATCTTTTGCATTGCAATTAGTATTTAAATGAGTTGCTGCCACTGTGGCATGCGGTTAGATTCCCTGGAGATAATGGGTATAAAGGATGAATGTTTGGACCTAATAAAGGACTTTTAGACTTGGAACTGAATATGTGAGTCCTGTGGTTATATTCCCTCTCCCATGCATCAGTGACAGGTAAAATATTAGAAGAACCTGGGTAGGGTGGAACATGGACCCTACAAGGTGTTTCTTCCTGGCTGTATATGTGTATACGCATTCATTTTCAATATTTCGTTACATAGCTAATCTCAGTCTGTAAACAATCTTACACTGTTATAACATTATTGTTGTTGCGAATGTTACCACAAAATGCATGCGAAAACGTAGGAAAGTTTATTTTAGGTAATTCATATAAAAAACATGTCCACGGGAGAAATAAACCGACATGCATGTGTAATATATTAACCTTGCACTTCCGCGATACGACCAACAGATTTAATATCTCAAAAGCGAAGCAATGATACTAGTCTACAGGAAACGATTTATAGCCTTGAAAAAAATTGAGTTTGTTATAAAGATCCCATTTCGGCAAAGTTAAAATATTTCTTGGTTATTATTGGATACTTTAATAATATGCACATTCTCATATCATAAAAAACTGTCAAGCTCGGCCTATTCATTAGCTTCATTGATATTTTGTGGAATTAGAGGCTAAAAAACGCCAAATATCGTCTTTTGACCTGGTTCTCATTTCGAAGCATGAAGTTTACTTCCTGTGCTATAAAGCATACGATATAATAAGTTCTTATGCGTAAGCTATTTATTAGCTAAATTGACATTTTATAGAAATAAGGGGGTAAAAAACCCAGATATCGTCTTGTTGACCTGGCCCGAAAGCATCGCGAATTGCGGATAGGGATATCACCTTTTATTTCGAGGGTATTATATAGGGCGAGTATGGGCGAGTTATGGAATCGAGACGCTTGCTCTCGGTCGCAATGCGCGATGCTTTCGAGTTACGGGATCTAGGCTTCTATATCGATGCACGACGTTTTGTTCGCGTGTTACTGCGGGGAGGTAGACAATAAAAAGCATTATGCCTCTGCTGCGCTGCTCTGGCTCGCATTGAAAGCATCACTGTTAAAATAGAATACTTCAACTGTATACCATCGAGGCAGTTTTGATGTATATCAGAAAACAAGGCAGCAACACTGTCAAATGTACAGACATAAAGCATAAAATGATGATGCAAAAATAGGCTACTGTCAATTCCGACTCAATAATACATTATGCTTAACAGCAAAATCATTACCTAATTTTAAATATGCCCAACAATACGGATGTAAGTGAAATGTGTAACTAGCATAAGGCTTCGGGTCCTTTAAAGGTCTAGTTCACATTGTGAAAATGCCAAACTGAGAAAAATGAAAATTTCTCAAAAAATTGCTAAATTCATGAAATATGGCAATTCAATCAAACTGGTGGCCAATTTGAGCTATATGCCTATCCTAAGAATCATTCTTAAAAGTTACAAAGTAATAAACTTTCTTTCCATAACGTTTGTGATATTACACAATGATTAATAGCACAACCACCACCAATCATTAATTATCTACTATACATTACATGGACACCTTGAAAATTTGATAACCATTCAGCTTTATGCCTGTGGGAATTCTAAGTCCCACATTGAAAATGCCAATATGTAGTAAATGAAAATTTCATAAAGAACTGCATTAATATATATTGCTTTCAGGAGAGAATGCAATCAGACTTGTTTTCCAACTCAAGCTGCATTTTAGTCCTATGAATCTTCTCAAGTAAATTCATCAAAACTAAACCGATCAAGATAATTTTCGAACTTGACCTATATATTGATCCTATAAATCAGTCCTGCAAGTTTTAAAGCAAAATATGAAACCCTTTTTATGTTATCTGTTTATTCATTTATTATTTTCAATAGCCAGCAAACATTTTGAAAAGTGCGAAAGGCAAATCAGTTTCTTTCTTAGATTAGTACGCAGTGCCAAGCTGATTTAATTATAGGCATGGACAATACACATTTAATCGTGCCGTTTGAAGTTCAAGTTCAAATTCATTAAGATGAATATTTTATCGTCTATATATGGCGCTTGTCGAAATTTTAACTGATTTATGTTTCAGGTGTGCCATTCCAAGCCTGGCAAATGACACCTTCGAAATCCAGGGTCCCTGGCACCAATGTCTTATCAACCAAACCATTCCTGTAGACGAGAATGGGGAGTATGAGGGATGTCTGTGGCGTAGTGGAAATTACTCCAAAAATGAAAGTGTGTGGCCGTGCAAAGACTGGGTTTATGATACAGCTGTATTCCCGAGAACGTTTCCTACGGAAGTGAGTCTTTGTACAATGTGATATTGATATTTTACTTATTGAGGCAGTTTGTCATCCGTAGCGCTTTAATTTCGACATGGATACAAGTCTGGCTTTCTTACAGCATAATCTGTGCTATATTTCTTCTTTATCTTTATGATTTATTATAACAAACCCTCACAAATCCGCACGCCTATTTTAAATTAAAGTCCTTTTGCAAGTATAATAAGCCTATTGTGTTGTTCTCTTTTATTATTCCGAAGCTTCTCTGGAGACTATAGATGCATAGAATGATTTAAACATTTTTATTTCAGTTTGATCTACTTTGTGACAGTTCCTTGCTTATTAACATGGCGAACGTGGTCTATCTGGTAGGAGTGGCTGTGGGGGCAGCTGGCGGGGGCCTGGTAGCAGACTAGTAAGGGCGTGTCGCTTGTAAAAATATCGGTCTGTAGACGTCATTTAAAATCTAAACTAGTAATATGTTCCACACACGCATGTTTTTGCAACAACACGAAATAAATATATCTGTTGTTTCAAAAGAAATTATTAAAATTCGCCACAGGGCCCGCTGGTAATCTGTGACAAAATTATTTTATCAGACTGTTCTCGAAGTCTGAATACTATTCTAGCGCCTATGTGATTTCAGTGGATACAAAGGATATAGGCAAGCTACCCTGAAGACTTAAATTGTTCTTGCTATGATCTATGTTATGCATTTCTTCCGCTGACTTACTTACATTAAATTACTGATTGTCTTTGTATGGCTAAACATAGCTTTACCTAGATTAAGTTTTTGGGGGGTTAAATGCGATTTCTCTGTAAAATTTAGCTAATTTTTTTTCAGCACTGGTCGTAAGTTGGTTTCATTTATCGCCTGCTTTATCCACGGGATAGCAGGGATAGGGGCTGCATTTTCACCTAACTACGGGGCTTATGTCGCATTCCGGTGCTTTGTTGGCATCTGCCACGGCGTCTTGAACAATACTGTCATTGTCCTTTGTAAGTTATTGTTCGAAACACCTCCGCTAATTCCGTACTGGTCATATCCCTTTTGTGGTTAACAAAGGTGCAATGTTGTGCCAGTCGGTGTTTTTTTTTAATTTTGGCGTTTCATTCGATGTTATCATTGTTGATAACAACCAGTAAAGGCAGACATTGGTTAACGCGCGACTTCCCGGTGGAACTTTTGGAATATGTTACCTGTAGTCTCCTTTGAGTCTGCTCTTTTTTCCCGCATCTTGGCAACCTCAGTTGGGAGTCATTTTCTAATAAAACTTGCCAAAGAATTAAATGCTCAATGGTTCAACATGGGCCATTTTGAAGTTAATCATGTAAAACATGAATCAGTGAGACTCAAGTTGTGTCATGGTGGAGGGCAGAGCAGATCCGCCATTTTCAGTTGGGAAAGAGTTGGGCTTTAATCGCACCCTCCTCCGAACACACACACACACACACACACACACACACATACTACTGTGGATCAATCAGTTTATCTATGCATATTTTTGAAAACATAAATTATGCGTGTAACTTAAGTAAGAAGAAAGTGGCAAATTTTTCACACGCATCTCTAAAAGCTTGTTTGACCGAGAAAAACGTCTACCAAAGCAGAGCCATCTGCAAAATCTCGTCGACGTCCAATTTACGACAGATATTAGTTAAAGCACATTTGTCCTAAAACTGGCTGATTTTTTACTATTGACTAGGACTTTTTTATTACATAAAATGATATTTAATCAAATATTTTCCTTATTCGCAGGTATGGAGTTTGTGTCGCCAAGAAAACGTATAATATCCCTATGCACGGCAGCTTTTTCATGGGGGACAGGTATTCTCCTGGGAACTCTGGAAGCTTATCTTATACGGGACTGGAGATATTTGCAGTTAGCTGTTGCCTTGCCATCAGTTCTTTACCTACTATTCTGGTGGTAGGTCTTCCTTTACAGTGTATATGTAATTTACTAAGAATTCTTAAATATTCGGCAAGCAGAGGAAAGTCTCTCTCTCTCTCTCTCTCTCTCTCTCTCTCTCTCAGAAAAACCCATCGATTTCTAAAAAAAAAAAAAAGAAAAAAACACCAATGGTCCCCTCTTGAAATTAGAATTTTGACTAGCTAAATCATAGTTCTAAACCATACCAAATGGCACCGTTAGCCCTGTAAAATACCAAAAGTTTTAGGGGCCCTTCAGTGGGCCCGAAACCCAACGCCAAAGGGGGGGGGGGCGGCTTCGCATCCTGGTTTCGCCCCTGGACATTAAAACATACAAACATACAGCGAGAGACAGATATTCAATATATATATATATATATATATATATATATATATATATATATATATATATATATATATAATTAATTTTTTTACAGGATAACCCCGGAATCCCCTCGCTGGCTCATCTCAAGGGGTAAATACGCGGAAGCCGAAAGCGTGATGCGATGGGTGGCTAAAGTAAATAATACCTCGCTGCCCGAGGGACGGCTGTTTGACGATCATTCTTTGCGAAGCACACCAACTATTAGTCCTCGACAACTCCGTAACGCACCAAGACTTATCGCGAGGACGGTGGTTATATCATTTGGCTGGTAGGCCTACGTTGCTAGTTTGTGGTGTTATCGTCAATAATTCGTTTGACATATTTATATCTTCATGAAATTCAATCATATATAATTTTCACTGTTCATTAAACCTTATTTTCAAGTTTGTGCCGTTGGTGTTGAGTCAGATGATATGGTTTTTAGAGGGTTTTAGAGTATTTACAAGCCCATGCTCCCTATGGCCCGTTCCTATCTCCTCACTGTGACTTCTCACGTAGCTATCCAATGTGAACTCTTTTACGTCATCTTCATGGCGTGCAATGGCTCTATTAAATTAACAACATTCGTGCATTAGAGCTTTAAGTTGTCAAACCTATCCCAGGGCACGGGTAGCGTGTAGCTGTATAAGAAAAACAAGGTCAAATAAATAACTTTGAAATAAACAAACATAGTGTCCATGATATAGGCTAATAACAAACCACGATGAAAAACATTACAGCTATTAAATCTCCCTAAAATGTTTAACCAACTTAAGCTTCGTTTTAACGATTATTAAACTTACCGTGGACAAGCAATGTATAGCGTTTACTTCGTTCCTATTGCATGTTCTCTTTTAGGCTAACAGTTGGTGTGTCATGGTACGGCCTCACGTTGAATCAAGGTTCCTTAGACGGTGACATCTTTATCAATGCTTTCGTTTTGGCTCTTATCGATTTTATATCCGCCTTCGCATTGCTGATCATCAATAGAATTGGAAGGAAAACGACGTACTGTGTAGCCATGATGCTATCTGCATTGGCTATGTTGTCGACTATACTGATGCATTTCTTTGCAAACAAAGGTATGTTTGACGTCTGATCTGGAGATGTACAGTTAGAAAATGTAGAGAAAATGGAATCCATAAGATACAAATTGCGTTGAGTATTAAAGTAAGGGGACCAAATATCTTAATTCTCACAAATTCACCCGTGAAACTGTTTTTTCCTGTTCCACTTGGTTAATTCTTGCAATATTACATGTCTATTTTACTAATTTCTATCTGAATTCAATATTGTTTTTAATGCATTTGTAATATTTCAGCCCATATCGATTAATTGGTCATTTATCTCTTGTTACAACATTAATGTTAATTGTCTCTGACACCTGCTTTTTGTACTGCTTCAGCCATGCCAAACCTGTCATTCGACTGTATTTACAGTGTAACTCATTGTTAATTTGTTGCACGTCACAGCCCAGTTTAATTAAAATGTGGTACATGTAACTTTGTCTACACGATTAGGCAGTTTTTCAATACACAATAGGCGGTAATTGACATATACCAAAAGTAACAACATTTGTGTGCATGAATGCAAGTGTTAACTTTGCCACTTGCGTTCCAGAGAGTTCAGCTACCAGTGCCACCTTTACAGCTTTGTACACAATTGGAAAACTTGGCGTTAGTTGTTGCTACACCCTTCTTTTCATGTGGAATGGAGAGTTCTATCCAACAGCCTTGCGAAACTTCGGGCTTGGTATAGGATATGCATTTGGTAGTCTAGGGGCTGTGATTTCCCCAATTGTGATGGTATGATGTTTATTATCTGTTACTTTTCCAGTTTTATCCTACAGAAACCCCATACAGTGTGAGCTGTTTCACAGTTATAACGCTTTATGTTAGAAACGCTAGACGTTTTTATGATTCAATGACCCTGACACACCAAAGCTAAATCACAGATAACTTTTTCAACCACGAACAGGCAGTGTCTTCATAAATTTTCTCCCCTTTAACACTGTCTCGACCCGGCAAACCCCCACCCCAATTTGTTAATCTTTTTAATAGTAATGTCCCATTAAGGGCTTATGGCAACGGGTATTTTGGTCGTATTGCAAGTTAACCAAGTGACATTGCTTTTTCTTTTCTTCTCTTTCTTCTATTTTATTTATTTATCTATTTATTGTAAATGAACAAAATCAGATATTGTTAAGCTTGCAAAAACAGTTTTTTTTTCAAATAAAAGTATGGAGAAGCACCTGTCGCCATCTGTTTTTTCTGTTATAGTCACTAGTTTTGCATTGTAGTATTTGGTTTGATACAATTCCTATGTTGAATGTTGCCTACATTGAAACCGATCATCTTATACTAGCGTTAATTGAAACCTTGAACTCTTGGCAGGACCAGCTTAGAGAGCACCCTTACCTCGGTAACACTATGCCAATGATGCTGTTTGGATGTATGACATTGGTTTCTTCATTGAGCGGTCTGTATCTTCCCGAAACAGCCCATAAACACCTACCGGAGACTTTGGAGGATGCCGAGAACTTTGGAGTAAAACGGTTTGTATCGATACCAACTTGTTACTCTCTCCCTGTCTCTCTCTCGCTTCATCGGTCTATCTCTTTCTTCCTCTCTCTCTCTCTCTCTCTCTGCTATACTCATGCATACATACACGCTCGCACGCATGTATACGACCACACATTTACTTTATAGAGACTTCAAAACAAAACTGTACATATAATAGGAGAATTTCGCTCAATATTCAAAGTGCTATAGCTACTTCTCATACAGTATGGTAAGTAGACTTAAGCAGCAGAATAATTTAACATTGATGTTTAAAACGGATATATTCATTTCAGGAGAGAGAGGAGCATCAACAAGAATTCAAGTGAGAATGCCCCACCGACACTTGAAGTGGTGTCTTAAGCGCGACAACCATAACATGATGCATATATACTGTTTTTGTACCTGTGTTTGTATCTGTGGATCAGCTGAGCCTGATACGAACTATCATATTAAAAAAATGTAAAGAATGCATGACCACAAACTGGACCGTGCATTTATACGGGATTTCCACAATGATTAGCTCATTTATTTGAGAACAAGCATTTTCATGGTATATATTACGCTTTTGTTTACAAATTAGCATACGCTTCAATACGACGATTACTGGATAGAATATTAAATTCTGCGACTGCCTATAATACTCTTTACAGAACTATTCACCACAGAATCCAAGAAGAAGAGGCTAGTAGACTTCAATTAATTCATTAATTCGCTTACTGTTGATCACACAATGTAGCACAAGAGCGAGAATTATTTGGCTACAGCTCTTCTGTGACAACTACAGCTTCTGTTGCCTTATACAATTTAATTGCAACTACAACGTCGCTGCTTTTATGATACGCTATATGATGGTCCATACGTTTACAGACTATATTATTTTAATTATCTCGCCATGTGTTTATCGATTATTTTATTTTGTTTATCTCGACCAACTTGACTTTTTTACTCTTATTACAATATGCATGTACATGACACTGATAACCCGTTTGAAGTGGAACAAAATGTTTCACTGTTGTAAAATGTTGTTAACGTGTTGTAACGTTTCAACAGATTGGATGAACTGCTAATAAATTCTCATTAAAGAAAAAAAACGATGAAATTTGTTGAACTGAACGTTTAAGTTGAAGGCTGGAGAAAACTTTCTGTTTACTCATATCGTGCGCGCTAAAAGAATGAATTAAGCACACAATGGGGTCAGGCAGTGAAGACCCCTGATATAAATAGCGATATGTACCTCGATTGAGACTACCCCGGCCGCTTCTAATGGAGAATAAATATATATATCTGTCATTCTTTGCTAGTGGTTACAAAATGTTGAATTTGACCGAAAATTTCAAACTTTCTCTGGGAAGCTGTAATTTTGCGATGTGATAGCTACACCATCACAGTTTATCATTTCATAAAAAGGGAAACAGCAGCTGCCTTTTTTAGGGCACACAGGAGAGTTGAACAGCTATACCCACCAAATCCAAGACGCGTTACCCTGGGTAATATATTTTGCACAAACTAATGAAAGTCTAATGGAATGTTTTCAAATTTTCATCGGGGTGGGACACCGCATGTATCGTAAGTTAAGCTAATTTTGTGATCATTTTTCAGTGACTTCAAATAAATTTTTATTTAAATAACCATTTGCACATTCTGTTTATTATATCTTCTTGCAGTAGGTGTATTCCCTGCTTCAATAATTCATTCAAACCCTAAACAAACTGTTCCTAAATAGAGGTAGGGTCGAAATTCCACAAAAAAAGACGCCATTTTGAGGGTAATTTCGATATATTTTCTGCTTTTTCTCTTCTTTTGCTTTTATAACAATATCCTCCTTGCTCATGCAGCTTCTTTGATTTGTTATTGAAACATACACAACGATGTCATGAGAATTTGGTCGGCTATCTAAATTTAAATAACATTCTTGTTATGGTCCCCCCGCAGTGCACCACTAGCAAAGAATGACTGATATATATATATATATATATATATATATATATATAAGATCATTACAGTTAAAGAACAATTGGAATGGAGGATCTAACTCGGGTAGAATCTTTTGCGAAAGTTGAACTCAGGTTCTTTTGAAGGTGATCTTCCAGTGATTCCCTATATTAAAGAAGAAATGAAATAAAGAATAGTGTGAAAAGGCTCTCTTTGTGTTTTTGATATCAATATTTCCTTATTTATTTATTTATTGTTGTATACAAACAATTGACTATGGTTTAGAAAACCACTTCCATTCATGCGATATCCGCACCAACAACCACTTTAAATGTCGATTGTTCTAAGGTTTCTTCAGTTTAGGTAATACATTAGGAGAATAGAATGCCACCTTATCACAACAACTGAATATGCGTGAAAAAAAATAAGGTAAACTCTTTTAAGTGTATTTAAGGAGGCAGTGCCAGTAACTGTGGATAGTTTGCAAAGGTTTTATACTTCCTGCAACAAAGAAGAAATGAGTAAGCTTATGACATGCACATGTAGAAGGGTGTCCACTATCATCGCACTGATTACATTCATACCAAATACCTCTGATAAAATTGGCTTCTCTAATCTAAACTTAAACCAAGGCGTAATCACAATTATTAATACATATTGTAATTGAACGTTCTGTATCGTGATTTAATGTCACACTCTTATATAAATTATATTCATACGTGCATTTTCACCAATTGGCGAGATAAATAAATATTGTATTGTATATGAAGGTGCTTGTTATTTGATGATGTAACTCAAATCAGTTGAGGCGACGTGGATTTGCTTTTACAATCTGACAAGCTTAGGTAAGGTTTTGAGAAATGGTATTTCAAATGTTATCGTTTTAAGTTAATGAGAGTATGCTATGTGCAGGTAGGGTTTTAACAAGGGATGGGGCGGGGGGGGGGGGTAATTACCCGAACTGGTACTGGGGGCATGTGGGTCTTAACATTGTGACTTTTTTAACATGTAAAGACAGGAAAGGCGCTCAAAATAATACGCACACGGGATAACTACAGACTTGACCATTTTAGTTTCAATGGTATGTCTTGGTAAAATGTATTATTTATATCTAAAACGTGTATTTCATGTAAATCACGAGAATAGACAAATATGTAGTCAGGTGTGACAGTAACAATTGACTGACGTAGACATAGACCTCAGGGCAGACAGCAATGCAGGGTAGCAGACTCTGAGAAACAGACTGGTTTGGGAATGTCACTCGATGCCATCCTATGGAAAACCAGCATGCAAGTTGGTTCGACATTGTAAAGGAATGGACGGGAATAAAGTGACAATTCATAATCACATCCATAGCCAAATAAACCCTGAAGAGGCCCGGTAGGGTTGAAAATCCCACGTGCGTGTGTGTGTGTAAACGCACATTTCTTGTGGTGTCAGGCCCTATTTCAGGTCATTTTTCTTTATTCAGGTGGATTTATGGAGGAATCTTGAACCACAATTGGCCAACTTTTCTTGAACAACGATCCATTTATCGTATCGAATTCAGGAATACGTTTGTATATGGATGCTTGTTACCTGTTCATTTATGTATTAATTTGCTTTTAATTTATATGTAATTTACAGCAGACCAACATTTGAACATGGGACGGACATTAAGAAGAAACCTGTTTACACTCTTCACAGTCAATGTAATCATACTACTGCTGATTGTGAACTACGATTTGAAGCAAAAATACAAGGCGTCAGTGGAGAAACAGCTGGTAGGCCTACTTTGTTAATAATGCTGACAACATAAAGTTCTATTCCCTCCTTTAACCATTCGAATGATATATCTAAGTGCTATATTTCATTAGAACGTTTGCTTTGGTTTCAAGATTGACACGTGTTTCGAGCTTTACATTATTCAAAAGGACGCACGAAGCCATTAAGAGGTGTTAGTACATAACCATAGAATTAAAAAAGTTGGGAAATGAGATAAATAGACGATGAAATGCATGATTTGGTTTGATTGTTGTTCTTCACATTTACCAACCTTGAGATGTTATGTGGCCGTGGCGATATTGTAGGGGTGTTTTCGGTGAACTTTTGGTATATATGTCAAATAATTCACTGCCACCCCCTCGTGTTATGGGCGTTGATCACGTGCTTCGCTGACGCTTTAGTTGTTCTGGAATGTGTGTGTGTGTGTGTGTGTGTTACAGGTCAGATCCCAATCTGGTCCACTTCCTTAGTGGCCAAGACCACATCCAAATTGGGTCTTTGCATTGTAAACAACATAAAATCCACTTTTTTTTGGTTATTTAAATGACCATTTT